TAATATAAGAACAATAATTTATTTGACTTTATTAAAATTTATTAAAATTTTTTTAATGATGATTACTAATTGAGGTTTTTTATTTATAAATCGAATATTAAAATAGAAATTCCATTATTTATGCATGTTCTAGACTTAAAAATTTTTTTCTTTTTCTCATGACATTATATATTTATTATTGCCCAAATGCCAGATATAAAGTCATAGAACCATATTTTAAATAATATGCACGCATATTATAATTACTTCAACTTATCTTTCTTTCAAATTACAATTAACAAAGTGTTTGTATTAAAAAATTTTTTCAAACATATTTTCTTGAAAGATATGATAACTAAAAAAAATGTGTTAATTGTAATGTCGATACGTATACAGTAAATTTAATAATAACAAAGAAAAATCCGTTTCTTTATTTAAAAAATATACTCTAGTTTTAGAATGCAGTACTTCCATGCATCATAGTTAAAGTCACGTATCAACTAGATAGAATAAAATGTTTAATATAATAAAATGTTTATTTTTAAAGAATAGCTATATAAATTTTTTACAAATATCTTGGAATATTCATAATAATTCAGTTTATAAAACACATTCCATATTAAAATATAGACTTTACAGTTTTTTTTCTTTAGAAAAAAAGTTCTAGAAATCTATTTCGAGCTATTTTTGAACGACTCATATTTACCATCTGTGAAGAAGGGATTAAATTTTAATGAAATTAATATTATAAAAAAATACAATGTTAAATTATAAAATATACAGTACCGAGAACTTAGTCATTTGCTTCCCATTCCCATGGAATGTTCTTTGTAAGATCAGATACTAGTGGACTTGTATAGATCGCCTTTGGGTGCATTTCCATTTGATGATTTGCTTCTTGACAGCTTATATCAAACATTTTGAGTTTAAATTCCCATACATCTTCCACAAATTCATCGTGAGATGAGTATCCACAAAGGTCTCTTAACTCTAAGTTTTCTTTTAACATATCAACTTTTGTTTTTATTCCCTTACGAATAATAATATCATATACTTTGTCTAAGATCCGATACATTTGTTTAGCAGTGGACCTTTTGAAAGTGTCCGCGTTCCAACAAAG